TGAACTGCAAGCAGCACCCCGTCCCAAAAAACTTTTTTTAAAAAGCTTAAAGGACATATAGTGAGGCAAAAAAATAATTACCAGAGATAAAGTTATAATTTTTCTATTTGCTGAGCTGTAATTTCTAATTATCATTGTTACTATTTCATTTTTAAAACATTAATATGAAACTTTTATTAATTTCCTGGAAGTAAGCCCAATTTGAATGTTCAACACAGAAATTTAAATCCTTAGGTTTACATCTGTATTTGGATCCTGACTTCGATTGATTAAAATTTTATTCTAATGCAGATTTTAGGGTAGAGTTTGGTAGTAAAAGAAAAAAGTGCTCTAAACCATGGCAAAGTGGTATTCATAACCAAGTATTAGAGATCCTTAATCTTTAGCAGTGTTCTTACCCAGCCAAATATGGTCAGGTACGTCAAACAGAGTATCTCAGGAATACAGATTGCCTGTTCTTATCATTTACCTCACAGAGCTGACAGGAAGGAGTTGCTCCTACAGCAGCAGGTGAGAGACTTGAAGGAAATGCAGTTCATGAAGCGCTGCTGAGTAGCTGAGGAAGGTGCTTTCTCTCTTTTACCCAGCAGTGACAGGAGACAGAGGGATCTTGTTTAGAAGCCTGGTAGAGCCATTCTTACCTCTCCGAGGAGTACGGTTTAGGCATCTTTTTGAGCTGTGACCAGGTGGGGAAGACTCTTGAGGATTGAAAATGAGATAATTTAATTATAAAGGAAAATGTGAAGCGCCGTTTTCCCAGAATATACACACTCTGATTATGTCTAGTTGAGTACTCGGCTTTGTGAAAGACCAAGCTCAGTTTCCAGCGTATCCTCGTAATTTCTCATCCCTCTGATGTACAATCCTGTACGCCTTCGGAGCTTGAAGGAACTCAGTGTGGCAATGAGAACTAACACAGAAATAACTGGGGCTGAACTTCTGGGCTGGCCCTTTTTAGATCTCTTTGAAAATGCACTTTCTTGAGAATCTTTGCATGTCCAAGCCCAGGCTGCCTGGGGATGGCATAAAGGGACAAATTAAATCATTTTAAGAGACTTTAGCAAAAAGGGTAAAAGAGAAGGGTATATAAAACTAGAATCTGGTATGTTTGCAATACACAGTAATTACATTCATCTTGGGGCAATTGGTATGTATATATATTAATAATCCATTTTTTTTGGTTTTGGCTTTTTGAGGCAGGGTCTCTCTTTGTAATTCAGGCTGGCCCTGAACCCACTATGTAGCCCAGACTGGCCTCAAAACTCGAGGCAATCCTCCTGCCTCAGCTCCCAAGTGCTGGGATTACAGGTGTGTGCCACCACGTCTGGCTCAATAATCCTTAATTTTTTTTACAAGTAAGAAACGTAAGACCTAAAGAGGTAAATATCATACAACTAAGAAGTAACAGAACTAAATTTTAAAAAAGAAGAAGCTGAAATTCAAACCTAGATACTCCATTCTCAGGAAATGTGTACTTAGTGTAAGGAGGGATATAGATGCATAAGAAATTAAAGTATGTATTAAGCAAAATATATGTTAAAGGACATCTATTGGAAAGTCAGGTATGCAGAGGGCTGGGGATTTAGCTTAGTGGTTCTGCCACCTGCCTCGCAAGCTCAAGGTCCCAAGTTTGATCCCTGGTACCAAAAAAAAAAAAAAACAAATTAAAAAAAAGTCAGATATGCAGGATACCATAGACAATGGTGATATAAACATGAGGCAGAGGGTCTGGACCTGTGCTCAGTGGTAGAGTGCTTGCCTGGCGTGCTCCAGGCCCTAGGTTCCATCCCAGCACTGAAAAAAATAAAAAATAAACAAGAACCATCTCTGCCTACAGGGCATTTATTGTTAGTATTTATGGCCAATCTGTTCCTTGTTTGGAATCTACAAGATTTGTATTTCACTAGAAATCTAGACCTAAGTCTGGCTATAAATAGGCACAGCTGGAATTAAGAGGGCTCCTCAGTAAGAATATCAGATTTCATTCATTCTCAAAACTCCTGCTGCACCTTCCCTGTTTCCTGAGAAAGTGCTGCAAACATCTTCAATGAGGACTTTTTACATTTAGTGGTGAAGAGTCCAGGAAATTTAGAACATGGGCTTTGGAATAAGGGACCCATATTTGATCCTGGGCCTCCTCATGTGACCTTGGGAAAGTTACATTGTTGCTTAAGTTAACTCATTCATAAAATGAAGATAAAAATACTTTGTTTTACAAGGCTGTCATAAGAGGTAAATGACATATTTCTAAAGCAATTCTGGCCCTTAGAAAACCAACCAAAGAGCCACTGTTTTTATTATCAGTTGTGATAATACTGGTAGAGGCTTCTCTACAAGAGCACTGTGTCTGTCCCTGCTTTGAATATTCTCTTGGTGAATGCCTCTGTCCCCCAACAGTTGTCACTTAGAAACCTCCAGGATTAATTTAGATCACTTTTGCTTGAGCACACGTGAAGACAGTTACCTCACAGAATGATGTAGGGTCAGAAAATTAAAACATTAACTAGAACCAAGGTGCTCACTGTGTGTTTCTGAGTTGTTACCTGTGTTTCAGAGCACGTGGCCTGGGTGCTGATGTGTCCATCTTTTCACCCATGCCCCTGCCTGAATCCTCTGCTCATTTCTTGGCCTCTTGTTTATGCAAAGTCTGTTTCATTACTTTTTTTACCCTTTCTTCTAAGCAGTAATACATTCCTAGAATACCTTCTCCCTTCTCCCCAAACTTTCATCAGTAAAACAGCTCTTGTAACCAGGCATGGTGATGTACACCTGGCATCCTGGCACTCTAGAAGGCTGAGGCAGGAGAATCCCAAGTTGAAGCCCAGCCTGGCCAACTTAGTGAGGCTCTGTCTCAAAACAAAAAAAATAAAATGGGACTGGGGATGTAGCTCAATGAAAAGGCCATGGGTTCAACCTCAGTAACGCAAAATAAGTAAGTAAATAAATAAATATAAAACAGTTCCTGAAAATATAACAGAACCTTTCTGTGACTAATAAGAAAATCAACAAGGCTTTCCCAGTCCCTATAGCCTCTACAGAAAGGAAAAACAAAAATGAGGAAGACAGTGGCAAAGGAAAATAGAAAATCCAGCACAGGAGATGATGGGGAATCCCCAGCAGGATAGAGAAAGGCAATTACAGAATGGTAGCTGAGTGAGCTGGATGGGAGAATTCTACACACATCTACAAGACTAAAGACGTCTACCCCAAGACTGCTTCAGAAAGGAATTGATGGAATACCTGACTATTCTGAAAGGCTATTTAGACCATTGATGGAATTTGAAGTTGAATCAATGATAAGGGCTTTGAAGACGCAGCTAAAGGGGGAAAAACACTAACTCTAGGAAAAAACAAAAAGTTTAACAGGAAAATAAACCTTGATTTTATTTAGTATGCATGAAGACATTTACTTCACACTGATACAGGATCAGAAAATTAGAAAGTCAGAATTAACCAAGGTACTCACTGTATGCTTCTGTGTTTTTATCCTATGGAATGTATACTCTACTATGTGGCTTAGCTTTGCATGGTGTTTGTGTATTCATGGTAATATAAGATTTGGTATTGATCTAACCAAAATTGTGATGTAATTATAGTGAAAAGATGGGTATGTGCTATGGGCCAGGCGGAGAAACAGCTAAATCCTCTTCCATACTGGAAAGTCACTAGGTAATGCTCAAAACTGAAAAAGTAGGAAGGACCAAAACAAGTATAATGGCTAGAAATGTGTAAGCAAATACTGCCCAAGAAGCAGTTTCTCTTGAGGCAGAAGAAATGTGAAGAGGTGAATAGGAACTGCCCTTTTTTGTACTTACCTGTATTTATCTGTTGGCTTTTAAAACTTTAAACAAATATGACTTTGATTAAACAAAAACAGAGAAAGCACAACAGCACAGCTACAAGGCTGCAAAAGAAGACGGTATGAGCAGTAGCCACAGTAGAGAAAAATAGGTTACCAATTTTATTTGATTTTAAAATATGGTTGCCTATACAAGGAAAAGGTTTGGAAGAATGTACCAAAATTTTTTTTATCTCAAGATTTTGAGTCAGTTTTCCCTCTTCTACTTTTCTGAGTTTTTTGCAGTTATTATTTTGTAATCAGATGGAAACACTTCTTTCTTACACAGGAAAGAGAAGTGGAAATGTGGAAGGAAGATTAGGAGCAAACATTGTTTTTAATAGTAAGAGGCCATGGGCCGCGGATTTAGCTCAGTGGTGCTGCTGTCTCCCTTGCAACCACAAGGTCCTGAGTTCAATCTCCAGCACCAAAAAAAAAAAAAAAAAAAGGTGGTAATAGTAAGAGGCCGCATAATCTATCTACTGATCGGGAAATTGCTAATAAATAATGGTTTATAAAATGAATGAATAAATAAATAAGTAAAGGCTTATAAAACCAGAGAAATGTTTTGCAGGTGTAATTGTAAAAAGAGGCTCTACACAACGTAGATCATATAATTTTTACCTTGAATCATGCTGTACCATCAGCTAAGATGCCTCTGCTTTCCCTTCCTTTTCACAGGTATTTTCCTTGCCATAGCATCCATCAGGACGAGCTGTGACAAAGCTCTCATCACCCACCCACCCTCTCCACTGTCATCTCCACCCCTGTTCTGAATAGATGCTCTATAGCTATGCTCACCACCTCGTGTTCTCATTATCTGCTTGTCTTTTCTTCCCCACTCAACCTTAGCATCTTAGGAAGCTGGGATTGGCTTCCATTCATTATCACACTAGTGCAAAGCCCAAGACAAAAGAAATAAGAGCTGTTTAATAAATGTTTCCTGGAGAACGCAATGAGTAATGTTGGGCAATATTTGTGTTAAGTAGCCTAAGGAAAGTAGCAGCTGCACTTCAGGGCTGGATGGGGATTGGATGGGAAAACGCACCTGAAGGAGCCAGCATAATCCCTTGAACATATGCATTCAGTGGAGAGCAGGAAGGAAGATGGTGGGGGTTGTGCTAATAACATGCTAAGAGCTGCTGGGTTTTGTTTTCAACAGACAGCCCCCGTACAGGCCTTGGAGTTTGTGGATGGATCTTGGTGGCTGCCTCATTCCTGTTCACACTTATAACTTTCCCAATTTCAATATGGATGTGCATAAAGGTAAAGAACATTTTGCTCACATCTGGAAAGGGGTCAGCTCCTACCTACATAAGCCCATTCTCTGTGGGTATGAGACAGAGAGAGACCATACTGGACTGTAATTTTTTCCTTCATCTCTCTTTTGGAAATTTCATACTACTTACCATTAGAATGAAATCTTACAGCTGCTTTTTAGCCATTATCGGGTCAGTCCTTCTCCGTGGATTAAAGTACCATCACCATTAAAAATTTTCTGGGGGCCGGGGATTTAGCTCAGTGGTTCCACTGCCTGCCTCACAAGTGGAAGGTCCCGAGTTTGATCCCAGTACCAAAAAAAAAAAAAAATTTCTGGGCCAGGGATGAGAAATGGTCCCCCAAGAACAGGTTTTCAGGATTTGGGATGGCAAGGTTTGCCTACTGGCTCCACTTTTTACTATGTACCTTTCCCATGTTTCCTCATTTGTAAGATGGGAGGAAATAACTGCACCTACTTCATAGGACCATTGTGAGGATTAAATGAAGTAGGGTGTGGTAGGTGACTTACCGCAATGCCTGGCCCACCATAAACACTGTCAAATGCTGGTTGTTTTTTCTATAGTTATTAATATTTGGATAAATAGCTATGGTTTGCATATTCCTAAAAGGATAAAATATGCTTCAACCCCTGTTACATGAATTTGTTGTTATAATTAAAGAAATCAGAAGAAGCCAGGCATGGTGACACACACCTGTCATGCATTTGTTTCTATATGCTATTCTAGACTTTCCAAATTTATACCATGAATATCTATTGCTTTCATAATCAGTTAAAAACAGTAAATAAATATCATGTTTGGAGATGATAAACATTGGACATATTGTTTATGGATATTATCTGGCTAGAAAGGAAAAATATTGTTTGACTTTGAGCCATCTAACCTATTTAGAAGTGTTTAAGCTATACATGTAAATGTTTGTACTCTTCCTGTTAAATTGTCATTCATGTCTTTATTCCAGATTATAAAGGAGTATGAAAGAGCCATCATCTTTAGACTGGGTCGAATTTTACAAGGAGGTGCCAAAGGACCTGGTGAGCACAGGGCTTGGGGGCTGCATGTCTGAGGATTGAAGTTCTTTTCCCTCGGGAGGGCCTCTGCTCTGTTGAGTTGGAAAGAGTCCATGGACCAGAAGTTGTGTAACAATAGCAGAGGCTCCAGCTAATCTCACTACCGACCCCCTCCCCTTCCCATTCCAGCTGATAAGATTATCTTCAGCCAGGAATAACTACAGCTCTGCAAATCTGAGCATGAGAACCCACGTCAAGGAAAGGCCTTTAGTTATTCATTTGGCAAGCTTCAGCTAAACTCCTCCTGTGTTCCAGGCCCTGGGAATTTAAGAGAGATCAGAACAGCCACCTCCCTCGAGGATCTTACTGTGTAGTGGGATACAACAAGGTGTCTCTTCAAAAGTACTTTATCCCACCGTTCTTGACACTTTCTGAAGCAGTTGCGGAAGTCCTCTTTTGTGAGTGTCCTTCATTGTGCTGTTGTGGCTGACTCAGTATTGTGAATCAATCCAAAACATTTACTTTTCACGGTCATTTTGACTTTGGGGAAGACCCAGAAGTCAAACAGTGCCAGATCCAGTGAGTAAGGTGGATGAGGACACACTACCATGCTTTTACCAGTCTGCCTTTCCAATTGAAGGCACTCAGCATGTTTTGATTTTTTTTTTTTTTTTTTTTTGGTACCGGGGTTCAAACCCAGGTCATGCTTTCGAGTCAGGTAACAAAACCACTGAGCTAAATCCCCAGCCCTACTCAGCATGTTTTTGATCACACCTCGTGAAGACACAGAGGACTTCTAGAACTGCTTCTGAAAGTGGTAAAGAATGATGAGCTAAATGTGTTCAAAGAAGAAAGGAAGTATCTTGAGGAGATTAATGGCAATATGTCTTTTACGCTAAGATTTTTTTTTTAAATTCTTAAACATTCACCTGTGTTTTGATCATACCTAGTACATTGTATGAGGTGAGTATTGTGATCAAGTAACCACCACAGAGAGCCAGAGAAGTGAGAAACCAAGAGATGAGTGACTGACCCAGACTAGCAGTGGATGAGACAAGGTCCCTGGGGGGTGACATCCCAGCCGAATCTTGAGGCAAGCAAAGGCGGTAGTCACAGGCAGGTGATCCTGGCAGAAATGGCAAAATGTACAAAGCATCGTAGGGGAGCTTTGCAGATTCGGGGAACTGCCAGCAGCTCAGTCCAGTGGAAGTGCAGGATATGAGGACAGAGGATGTGGATGAGGGGGTGAGCAAGGTGGGTCCTTCAGGACCATGGTGGGCAAGGTTCTTATCCTTAGGGAAGATGGCTGTGCTTGCAGCATAGGAAATGGGTCATAAGAGAGAACCTCAAAGAACAACTTGGGAAGCGATTACATTGGTCCGAGTAAAGGAAGAAAAATGACAGTAACAGTGGCATAAGGAAATGAATTCCATGGGGCCTTGTGGGAGCCTTCAAGGTAGGAAGTAAACAAGAGGAGTGAGGATAACTTCCCAGGCTTCTAGCTCATGCAGTTGGCAACTTTCAGTCAGTTGGGTGGATTCCATCAGAATTGCTAGAGATGTGAGCTGAGATGCCGGTCCCTCTCTGATCTTGTGTGTATCTTGGTTGCAGGTTTGTTTTTCATTTTGCCCTGCACTGACAGCTTCATCAAAGTGGACATGAGGACCATTTCTTTTGACATCCCTCCCCAGGAGGTAAGCTTCTCTTTTTTGGTAGCTAACTGAGGGATTGTGTGTGAACATGCTTTACACTGAAAAGGAAGACATTTTTGTTTTTGTTTTGTGGGGTTTGTTTTGTTTTAAGACAAGGTCTCGCTGTGTACCTCAGCCTGGCCTTGAATTCACTATATAGTTCAGGCATGCGCCACCACTGTTGGTTTTGAAAAGGAAAACACTTTTGGTCCTGACTCCCTTCTCCTTCCCCAGCTCCATGACCTAGGGGAAGAGCTTTTACCTCTTCTGTGCCTCAGTTTCTTTCTCATCTATAAAGCAGAGGTCGCAATAGCAGGACCTACTTCCTAGGACTGCTAGGAGGAGTAAATGAGATGTTACATGCAGTGCTTAGGTCAGTGCCTGATGAACAGTAAGTGCGGTGGGAATGCTTGCTGTTGGTAAGACCGAGTAGACTGTAAAGCTGATGGGGGTGTAGCATTGACATCTTCACTGTAGTTACCATCACTGTTTTTACTACCACAGTTCTCCTCATGGGTTTCGGATAGAAGATGCTGTTTAGGTCAGTAGTCATGATTTTGTGGTAGATAAATTGGTACAACCAAAGAATTTGAAACTGCTCATTTGGCATTTTAGACAAATTTGTCAATATGTTGCACTTTTTTCTGGCAACGTCACAAATATTGTCACAGTTGAAAAGCATAGCAGAATCCCTAGAAAGTACAGAGGTGCAGGAAGATGAGGGAATTCCTCACACTGCAGTGGTAGAGCCCAGACTGAGACCCAGCTCTACCAATTCCCTGTCCAGTGCCTTTCCCCAAGCTCCGTGCTAAATGCATTCTCCATTTGCTCCATCATGGCCCTCGAAGAGGTGACACCTGTGTCCCAGCCCATGTCTTAGGAGACGAAATAACCATTGCAGATAGAAAACCTGCAAGCGTGGTGAAGGGAGGGATAGAGAAATGCAGTCCGTGTGTCCTGGCTGCTGCCCAGATCCTCTGCATGATGGAGGAGCCTGGCCAGGTTGCTTTCTCTTGTCACAAAATCCAGAAACCAGTCCCGGAACTCCCTTGCTGGTACAGTTCCAAGTAGTTGCTAAGGTCAGACTTTTTAATCCCCACAACCTTAGGGATACCAGAAATCACTTTTACCCACATCTTACAAGAGCAAGCCTGAGAGCCTCCCTGTATTCCCCACACGTTTTCCCATCTTTCAAGGAAGACTGACTCTCAGAAGGAGCCCTTTCTTGGAGTTGCTGGGAATTCTGGCGGTTTCCTGTGTAAACATTGCAGGCATCTGGCAGGGCTGCTGTGAGCGTCTCCTTTCCAGCTGCTCCCTCCTCCCCTCCAATCTGCTGAAGGCAGAGCAGATTGGAACTTGGCAAGCAATCCTTTTTCCGATCCCCTGTGAACTCGCTGTGAAAGGAGATAAACACTGCCTCCAGAACCGTGGGCCAGAAGCTGCAGCTTTGAAAGCAGCCGGGGCGGAGTCACGAAGGCAAGAACCCGCGGAGGAGTGACTTCCCATCACATCCTGGGAAGTCATCCTCACACAAGATGCTAATAGACTGTACACTTATTTACAAGTCCCCTGCTTCTCTTTCTTGTTAAAGGTATTTTTAGATTACTTAAAGTAAAAAAAAAAAAAAAAGGCTGACTCCTTTGATGCCTGGCAGCCCTAAACAGCTACATAGCAACAGTGTTACTGCTTTCCATTTAGGGCTCAGTACACTTTCAAAAAGGCTTTGTTCCCGCTTTCCAAGGGCTTTGTTCCCAAATGTCTTCTAAATTGATCTTCACAGAAATCTGGGGAGAATTGGGCAGTGTCATTAGCTCCACCTCAGAAATGCAGGACCACCAGGTCACATGGTTTAAAGCCCTGCTCGAGGTCGCCCAGAGGGAATGGGCAGCACTGGAAATACAGTCCAGGTCTCTGTCCACTCCACACTTCGTCTCTCTTTCTGGGGCTTTTCTTCCCCTCATTTCACCTCTCACTTGGGCCGGGGATTTAGCTCAGTTGTTTCGCCGCCTGCTGCACAAGCACAAGGACCCGAGTTCGATCCCCGGTACCAAAAAAAAACCCAAACCATCACTTCTCACTTACTAACCAACCACCTGCTGCGGACCAAGCTCGCTGCCTGCGCTAGAGATGCAAAGACAAATCACCCCTAAGAAAGTCACAGTCTGAAAGAGAAGTAGAGCTGTCAGTAAATGTCAGGACAGCGAGGGGCAGTGGTGTGCAGGGAAGACTGCCTGCTGCTGTAGAGTGAGGCAGGGATGTTTCATGGAGAAAAGATGCATGAATGATGAGTAGGAATGCGCCAGTCTCGTGTTGTGATGGAGAAAGGAGGAGAATTTCAGGCAGGGTGTAAAGGCCTGGGGATGTGAACACGGAGCATGTGGGGACCCGCATGTGGCCTGGCACAGAATGTATGCAGGAGTCAAGAGAATGAGGCCAGAGGCCTGCAGGGCCAGATGTCAAAGGACTTTGCCCTGAAAGTGCCAGGAAGCTACTGGAACATGTTACCCAGGGATTACTGAATTAGAACTGACATTTTCAAAGATCACCATTGCATAAGTCCAAGTGCTTCTTGACTTGCAATATGGTTAAATCCTGATAAACTCATTATAAGGTGAAAATAGCATTAAGTCAAAAATTCATGTAATATCCCTACTCCACCAAACACCGGTGGTTTAGCAGCACATACGCTGTAGAGTGAGATTTGTTTCTCTTCACAATCATGGGGCTGACTGGGAGCTGAAGCTCGCTGCCTCTGGCCAGCATCATAAGAAAGAATTCACTGGATATTGTTGGCCTGGAAAAAGGTCACAGTTCAGAAATTGGAGTTGAGTGTCTGCTGAAGGTGAATTGATTTTACATCACTATGAAGTCAGATCATCAAAAGGAGAACTGTCATAAGTAGGGACCATCTATCTGTATAGGAGATGAATTAGAAACAAAATGAGATAGCTTTTTTAAAAAATTGTCTAAATTAACTCATTACAGTTAACAAGATCAATGTTTTACTTAATAAAGTTAATGCCATTATCTGAAATGAAAAATAATAAAGATATGTTTTGCAGAGGAGCTGGGGATTAAACCTAGGGCCTTATTTTTTATTTTAAGACAATGTCTTGCTACGTTGCCCTACCTGGGCTTGAATTTGCAATCCTCTTGCCTTAGCCTCCCAGACTGCTGGGATAGCAGGTATGCATGGCCATGCTGAGTTTAAAGATAGTTCTTATCATGTGTCAGGCACTATTCTCCACACTAAAATGTATTAACTCATTATGTCTGACAACAATCTTATAATGTAGGTACTATTATTAATCTCTACAAATGAGGAAACTGAGTCCCAGAGAGGTTAAGTAATTTGTATTACTGTCTTCCTAGTGTCTCTCACTCAAATAACTTTTTAATTCAAACAAAATTATGTCATGTTAAGCATTCTGATGTAGCATCCCATGAATATATTTTTCCCTGACCTTGTCCTATAAAAACATTCCCATGAATTTTGTCTCAGTAATACTGTGCTATTTGTAGTTCATCAACCTCAGCTCTCTCATGCCCCTGTGCCTTTGTACACATAGTTCTTTCTGTCCACTCCACCCTCAGAATATTTTTATTCTTTTTTTTTCAAGATTCAGTCAAGTCTCGCCTTTGCCACCCTTAGCTACCCTCCCTTGTCCCTTAAATGCTTTCTTGACTCCCTAACTTCCATGGATATAGGGATCAAAGTTTTTTATGCTTTTTCCCCAAACATAATGTCGGCTAGTGAGTAGTACGGAAAACTTTGCTGAGTGATTGAATGACTCTATAGATTTAAAGAATAAATGAATGTGTTTTATTAAATTCCTGAGGATATAATTAACTTTCTGATGCCTTATTCTAGAAAAACCGTTAGCATTTAAAGGTGGTCTGTAGAATAACACTCCTCACAGTTAGCTACATGAAAGAAATCATTGGTTGGTAGACATAGCATTGCTTCCTTCCTCTTTCAGGTCCTCACGAAGGATTCAGTGACAATCAGCGTGGATGGTGTGGTCTATTACCGTGTTCAGAATGCGACCCTGGCAGTGGCAAATATCACCAACGCGGACTCAGCGACCCGTCTTCTGGCACAAACGACTCTCAGGAATGTTCTGGGCACCAAGAACCTTTCCCAGATCCTCTCTGACAGGGAAGAGATTGCACACAACATGCAGGTAAGGGATTCACCAACCCAACAGAAACTGAAAGAGAGTCCATGATTGTTTGGGAACAGTTTATCAGTTCAAGTTGGGGGTCTCTGGCCTGTGTTTCTTCTTCGGTTTTCCAGACATGATGCAAGGAGCGACTTGTCACCCTGACCGCTTATGGGTTCATACCACTCAGACACATGTTTTTAGTTTCCTCCACTGTTTATTTTTTCCCACAGTCAGTATGACCCTTTTTGTTTGGCATGATAGTTCAGAGGTTGTTCTGCAAGGCTGCAGATATTATCCAAGCCTTATTCTGTGTGAGTCCCACGAATTCCCTTCTAACTGCTGTGCTTTCCAGGCTTGCTTCAGTAGTAGATATTAAGCCTGGCGTGTTCACAAAGATACAGCACTATAAGTAAATTCTTACTCTCAGTAAAATCTCATTGTGTGTAAAAATCTATGGTTTTATCCATCACAAACTCATGAAATAGAGGGAATGATTTCATCCCTGCCCTTGTAAGGAGGAGAGTGAAGCACAAAGAAGTAACATGCCTTACAGCGTCACACTCTTGTGGGGATCAGTGCGCTATGGCCCTCAGGCTGGCCATCCGCTTGTATAGCAAAAGTTCACTGGAAACCACATGAATCATATAAACTACCCAGGGCTGCTGTTGACCTACAGCAGCTGCACAGAGACTGCAAGTGAACGATTCCTATGTGGCCATTTTTAGAAGATGTTTGCCATTAGCTTCTAGAAACAGAGTCAGGACCAGTTCCCTGGTAACCCAGCTGCAGCTTCAGCCTGTTTCTCTGCCACCCTCCTCCAGCCCTTTCTCCTCTTCACATTCCAACTACTGCAGCCACTGCAGGCATCTGGGTGGGGGCTGATGATGCTTGCCTTCTGTCCCCAACAGTGCACTCTGGATGATGCCACTGACGACTGGGGAATAAAGGTGGAGCGAGTGGAAATTAAGGACGTGAAGCTCCCCACACAGCTCCAGAGAGCTATGGCCGCAGAGGCAGAAGCATCCCGGGAGGCCCGAGCCAAGGTAATGTTTTCTCTTTGTTTGTTTTTAGTTGTTTTTCTCATTGAGTTTTCTTTTTTAATTCCACAAAGCTCACTGAAAAGAAACTGAAGTGTTTAGTAAAGATGGAAGCTCTCCCCACCACACTGAATCTACTCCCCCAGAGGCCACACTCTTAACAGTTTTGGTTTGTTTTTGTTTTTGCTTGTTCCTTTTTGACAGTGTCTCCTGCATAGTTCAGGCTGGCCTTGAACTTACTCTGTAGCCCAGGAGGGCCTTGAACTCATGAGGATCCTCCACCTCAGCCTCTTGAGTGCTGGGATTACAGGCAAGTGCCACCACACCCAGCACTCTTAACAGTTTATTGTACTTGAATTTTATTTGATTTGGATGTTGAACAATTGGCTTGTTTTAGGAAAATAACATCACACTGACATACTGTTGTACATCTTGCCCATGGACTTAGCACTGAGGACATATTTGTTAAGCTAATTTAGAAAAGAAGCCAGATGTGGTGGCGTGAGGCTGTAATCCCAGCCCTTGGGAGAAAAGAAAAGAGAAGAGAAGAGAAGAGAAGGGAAGGGGAGGGGAGGGGAGGGGAGGGGAGGGCAGGGCAGGGCATCTTTTAAGATGATAATGTACAGAAATACAGGGCTTTCTCACCAAACCCAAGACTGGGCAGTAGACTCAAGCCTCACCAGAACCAGACAGAGGGCCTGAAAGTAGTCAGGGCTGAAGGGAGTTCATTCCCTCTCCTGAGCCAGGGCCAGTTGCAGATAGTTTGTGGTGGGTGACACTTGACTCCAAGTTCACACCCTGTGCCAAGGAGCACCAGAGACACAGATCAGCCCTGATCCCACACTCACAGAAAAGAGGTTTGCTTTGGTCCAACTTTGGATCAAGAGCAAAGTCTAACACTAACCCAGTCCCAAACCACCACCCCCATGACAACTAGAGGAAGAGGATATCTGTGTGTGTGTCTGTGTGTGTGTGTGTGTGTGTGTGAGAGAGAGAGAGACTGGGGATTGAACACAGGGCCTTTGCACTGAGCTACATCCCTAGTCCTTTTTTTTTTCTGAGATGTGGCTTCCCTCAGTTGCCCAGGCTGGTCTCAAACTTGCCATCCTCCTGCCTCACCCTCCCAGAGTCCTGGGATTACAGGCATGCGCCATCACACCCAGAAAAAGAGATTTCTTGGGAGGAATTGCAGGAGACTTGGCAGATCTCCCAAACAAAGAACAAACCAACTCATCATCATTAGAAAAGAGTGGTAGCTGGTGATAATTGGCTGACCACGGAACCCTGTCCTTCTCTTAGGATGCTCTTTAAGCCACCAATTGGTTAGTATAATTTCTTAATACCAAATAGAAGAGTAGCCCATCTGACATGCTGCCTCCAGAATCTTATATTAACTAGAATTTTAAGTTCTCCTAATATGATCATGCTACAGAATCCTCAAGTGCCTTCTTTCAAAATCATCACTTTAGAAGATTAAGTTATATGTATGATAATCTTAGCAAATGTTTCCTCTTATCACCTAGTTATTTTAGAAAATTAGAAATTTATTTTACCAAGAATCTGTCATCAACCAAAAGCCTCATTTCTGCCCAGGCGTAGACTAGCAGAGTCTGAAGGATCCTCAGAGATTATCTTCCAAAGGTGACAAATACCTCATCTAGCTACACTGCACCCTCCCCACCAGCACTGTGTGCCCCTGAACCTAGACTTGGCCTCAGAATCAGTCCTTCTCAGAACTCCAGGAGGTGTGGAGATAGCCCTAGCAATGGAACTTGATGGCCAAGTGGAAAACTGAACCCGAGAAAAATTAAGTGATTCCCTCAAGGTCACTCTGTTGATTAATGGCAGTGGACATGAGAATTCTGCTCTGCTTCTCCTGCCTTCTCTGGACTTCCAGGGTGGGCTGAACCTTCTCCTCAGCACACCAATTTAGACGGAAAGTTCCTATCTTCCCTTTATAACAACAAGAAAGGATCAGGAAGTCTGTTAGAATTTTGGTTACCATGTTGTCACTTGGATAGGGTTACCACTTGGATTTGGTTACCACATTGTCACTTGGAAAGGTTAATCTGACAGCTGTTTCATGAACCTTGATAGAAAATAATTATCTTCAAGGTTAATGTTTACACAATGAACCAAACACTTCTGTAAAAAAACAGTAACCCTACTAAAACACTAGGCTTATTTCAGGTTCATTTGGAAAACATGGGAGTCACAGTTTCTTATAGTTTCTTCAACAAATTTCAGAGGAACAGAGAGATTGGTTGTGAGCGCCTATAAATTAAGAGGCTTCAGAGAAAAATACCTTAGTCACAGGTAAATTAAAATTCAAATTACAGCAGATGCAACCCTAGTGTCTTAGTTATTTGTCTCATTACCAGAACAAAATACCTGATACTCATAAGTTAAAGGAGGAAAGGTTTATTTTGGCTCAGTTTGTGGAGGCTTCAGCCCATAGTCAGCTGGCTCTAAGGCAGGGCAGCATGGCAGAGGGGCACTGCAGAGGAGAAAGAGTTCATGGCATAGCAGGCAGAAGACAGTGAGGCAGCGAAGCAGCAACAGCAAGCTTCCCTTTCCCTTTTATTTCAACCAGGTTATAAGCCTATTGGTTGGTGCCACCCCCATCCAGGGTGGGCCTTCCCATTATTCACACCAAAACTATGCTAACCCGATCAGTGGATTAATTTAGTTATCACATCCTTAACCCACATTCATGAACCCTAGATCCAACCACTTCTAAAAAGCCCTACCATATGAGCACATGAGGCTTTGAGGAGACATCTAGATACAAACCATAACATCAAAGATATCCACCAAATGCCTTGGAAAAAGAAAGATAAGAAAAGAACCAAAAGTGGCTGAGGGAGGAACTAGAATGCTCACCTCTGCTGGTAGAAGTATGCAGTGGTACAACCACAGTGGAAGATAATCTGACAGCATCTATTTGCAGACCCTGTGAACCAGTAAGCTCCACTCCTCAGCATGTATCTCTTGGGAATGTTCTTATATGTCTACCAAGAGGCATGCTCTAGGATGTACACAGCAGCATTTTGTAATTGCCCCAGACAGGAAACTGCCCAGATGTCCACTAGTTGAATGGGTAAAGTGTGGTTTATTCACATGAAGGAATACGCTGTAACAAAAAGGATGAACACCTAACTGCTTACAAACATAAGTGGAGTGAGGGAGCCTGACACAAAAGAGGACAGATTCTCTACACATTGTGCTGTATGTTAACCAACCCCTCGTCCTTTTTTTTGGTACCGGGGATCGAACTCAGGACCTTGTGCTTGTGAGGCAGGTGGCAGAACCACTGAGCTAAATCCCTGGCCCCGACCAAACCTCTTTTTAAGGTTTTTAGACCAACTCTTAATGGTTCACATTGTAAATCTTTAGTGCTTGCGTTCTCCCTTAATTCCTTTTTTCTGCAACTCAGAAAAATGTCTGTCATATGTTTCCCAGCTCATGTTTCTGGGCCTGGTGTCCTGTTAATTGTAAGGGGTGGAGTGCAAAATTGGAGACTATCACCTTTCTCTGCCTTTTCCTCTTACCAGCCACATGTGCTCCAGAGGACAGGAAGTGCCAATCTCACCCATGTGTAAAGGTCGTATTTTCAACTGGTGATCTGCGGGGCTTGGGGGTGTAGCTCAATGATAGAGCAGTTGCCCAGTCTGCACGAGACCCTGGGTTTGACCCCCAAAACGGCAAGCAAAATTTAATAAAATAAAAGCTTGTGAATATAAAACATTGATTGACATGGAATTATCATGCATTTAGGGGGAAAAAAAGGCCAAAACATTCACAAATAGCTTTGCTCTCTAATATGCTATCTGCAGCATGTACGTAGCCATATGTAGATAAAACCCATGATATTGTGTTCACATCTTTGGCAGCTTTCCCAGGGCATCTTTCCGATGAATAAACTGTGTGCCCAACCTAGTGGGTCTGGCTTCCTGGCTAAGAGATTGTGAATTGATTGGTGGTAGGAAAGGAGATATCTTTGCGGTTGGTCCACATCCAAACAAAAACATGTCTAATTGGACATTTGAGATGACATGGGAAAAAAAAGTCAGAGCCTGCTGTTCCCATAGCAGGGGTTTATTTATGAATTCTCTAGTGCTTGCCTTGGAATACGGTCATGTGGTTTTCTGTGAGTGTGTTTGGCCCTGCCCCTTCTCATAGACCAAGGTAGGGAGACGTAATGGTTTGCCTTGATAAATTAGAGTCTTTATCCTATAAACCAGTAAGTACCATATCCTGTATGCCTTGGTTCCGTTAACGGCCTTACCCATCCAACCAAAATCTAGAAGCAAGAGTCACACCAGCCAAGAGTCAAATGCTGCTGACTCTCCCCTAAAATAGCTCCTCATCCACTCTGTCCTTGCCCCCACCACCAATGAGGCCTGTGTGAAGCAGTTCCCATGAACAGCTCCCAGTCTCTACTCTATCCCCAGGCATCCTCCTCTGTTTTCGCAAACTAGATCTGATGAGGTTACTTACCTGCTCAAAATGGACCCGTGGCTGCATGTTATCTACAGAACAAAAATCAAAGGCCATGGCCCTTCCCTGATCTTCAGACCCTGGCCTCACTCAGCCCCACCTTCTCCCTCTTCCCCACACAGTATTCAGTCACTAACAGTTTTCTGGACCACAACAGCTTTTTTATACTTCAGTTCTATTTCCTGTGTTCTGCCTAAATTGTTCTTCCTCAACTTTATCTGAACATCAAGACTTTCATTCTTTAAGATTCAGCTTCTGGGGCCGGGATTTAGCTCAGTGGTTTCACCACCTGCTGTGCAAGCACAAAGACCCGAGTTCGATTCCCAGTGCTCCCCCCAAAAAAAGATTCAGCTTCTGTAACTCACCACCTTACCCTCTGTAAAATTACCTGTCTCTCATGCTTGCACTGTGCCCTGCACATATTTCTGTCAACATTCATCACACTAGGTCTGTCCCCACTACTGAAAAGGAGCCAAGGAGGCCATGGCTTCCATTCTCTATCCACAGCTTCTGCACAGGGTTTGTTTACACCTAGAGGCCCCCAAAGTTTGCTGTACATGAACAGAATCTCCTTGGGCATAAGGCCATTGCTGCCAATTCTGATATTCACAAGGATTTTATGAACCATTCCTATCTTGAGGTCCATTATAAGAGCAACCTAGTGAAAGTGCAATTTTAATCTAAATGATTGAGATAACTTTGTAGTTTCTCTTCTTCTGGGATTATGAGTTGAAAGTAACTCCCTTGATTTAGCTTCTAAATCTTGTGCATCAAAGGATAGTCGTATTAAAACTCAGGTATTGGGCTGGAGATTTAGCTCAGTGGTGCTGCACCTGCCTGGCAAATGCAAGGTCCTGAGTTTGAGTCCCAGTACCAGAAAAAAAAAACAAAACTCAGGTCTTCATAGCACATGCCTTTCCTGTATAGTAGTCTCTGCTTATTCATTCAACATTTTAGATACCTTTTCTATCTTCCCCACAATGGTCCTGTGAAGCAAGTGTTGTCTTATTTTGAGAATAAAAATTGAAGGTTCTGATGTAAAATAACCTCTCTGAGAATATTTGGTGAGATTTAGATTTAGGATTTGAGCTAACATCCATTTAACTCCTTGTTATCTACCACTCCAGTGATCTGCGAACTTTTTTGCTTGTGTAACCCCTTAAAGAATTTGTAAAATATCCTATCATACATTTTAAATTGGCATGTAAAAATCTTGGAGATGTATAGATATTAAGTATATAATTTCTGGCATGTTGTAAATATTGACATCTTAAAATGAAACTGATAACATCACTCTTTTAAATATGTCCAGTACAATTTACGTATCCATTTAAAAATATGTAAGTTTTTTTTATCAATCCTGAATATTTCATTGTACTTTTTTCTTCCTGAAGTTATATTTCCATTTCATCCCTTCCCCACAAGTCCCTTTCCTAATATATTTTGTCATGAATTATTTTATTACCTCACTGTAACATGTTTAGTATACAAGTTAGAATTATTTAGAATTTCTTGTGACTGTAAACAAGGCAAATGGTTTTAGAATTTCTCCTAAATAAGGAATGAGTTTTTACTAGAAATGCTGCTGAATGCAATAAATGAAGGATTACTTCATAAATGTGTAGATGGCTATTATTTATCATTAGAATGAGACAAGATTTAGTATCAATTTTCATTCTGCTTTTCATTTTTTATAGACAAGAGAACCAAGAAACCTTAACATAATGAAGTTGATGGAAGTAGTTTTATTTAAAGTCATGCACTTCTTAGCCCTCTCTTTGAATGTGCATGCTAAAAGGTCTTATGGGAATCTTTTCTCAAAATATAATTTTAATGATCTATCAGCTTTCATTTCAATAAGATCCTCTTTCCTTTCTTTGAAATCAAAGAATTAGAAATCCACATGACCTGCAGAAAGATTTATGTGCAGTCATTGCCTTTCTCAAGCCCTATACAGTATTGTGACTTGTCCCTTTGCATGGTAACCTAGAAAATGAGAGGGGCCGGGATTTAGCTCAGTGGTTCCACCGCCTGCCTCGCAAGCACAAGATCCCGAGTTTGATTCCCCCATACCACAAACCAAAAAACCGGTACCCTGGAAAATGAGAGAAAGGGAGTCATAAAAAAGGCATATCATGAGCTAGGCACAATCTAGCAGTTGATTTCCTTAAAGCTACTCTGCCGTACTCCCTGGGGCGTTTCACACACTACCTATGGCACACGTCTCCCGGTTTGAAGATTACCGCGCACCGTCGTGTGGCTTCTCCAGTCTGACCTCTCCTTTCCCTTCCCCACAGGTTATTGCCGCGGAGGGAGAAATGAATGCCTCCAGGGCTCTGAAAGAAGCCTCCATGGTTATCACCGAGTCTCCTGCAGCCCTTCAGCTTCGGTACCTTCAGACATTGACCACCATTGCTGCCGAGAAAAACTCCACGATTGTCTTCCCTCTGCCCATAGATATGCTGCAGGGCATCATGGCGGCAAAACACTGAGCCATGTAGGCCGGCGCTGGGATGTGCTCTACACGTCCAAGCAAGGAGTAGGGGACCAAATTAGCCTTAGTTCACAAGGAGAGAGTAGGGCAGGGAACCTTGAATATCCTCCCTCCCTGTCCTTTTCTGTATGTTGAGGTTCTTAGAATGTGTAGTGATCGTAGAAACAGTGGAAGGAATTGTTGGCTTGCAAATACTGAGAGAGTGAGATCGGTGATTTATATATAAGATAATCTCCCACCCTTTAAGATACTTAAGGGTTTGTATTTTAGATCATCTTGTAATAGGAAAAACCTCTCTTCTTTTGACTTCCATTGAGTCATTCTGAACCTGCCATCAGCGCTACACCAGAGGCAAGAACACAGGCTAACACTGCTACCTGTCACCTTGTGGCACAGCCAGCTTCTCTGGGCCATCTGTGCCTTACCACCAGGGAGCCTTAATTGAGGACATTTCCCTGGTGTCCACCTACTTTATAAACCCAAACCTCACTGGGTAGGAGCCATCTTCCTGTCGTACCTATCAAACTACAAGAAATGGTCAGGCTCGATAAAAACAGGTTACCCTAAGCCTTTGGTGACTTTTAAATTCACCACTGTGGAGGTCCTTTTGAAAATAATAGATGCAGTTTTTGTAACTCCTTTGAGCCTCCTTCAGGAGGAAAAGACTCCTCTGTGGTCTGTCTTTCAAACCAGCTATCTACTTACCACAAAAGTGCTTCTTCTAACTTTTGCCTATTTTCATATATCAAGTTTTGAATAGTTTTGACTTTTTAATAAAACTTTCTCTAAGTTCTATAAACAGACCCATATGAATAGCTAAAGGATCAAAAGACTTTTTTAAAAAAATCTTCAAAAAACCATTATATTTTACTGTCTGCATGCTGTTAACTATTGTACATTTTGAAATACCCCACTCATGAAGTAGCGTAACAAATATATTGGATCAGTTATATCAAAGGATCATGGGCCAACACTGTTGAACTTAGGATACATATGGGAGATGTAGAACTTTTAGTTTGCCTCCTTGTTCTTTTTCTCCTGTATCTGTTGCTGCTCAAGAAGGAAGTGGCCACCCCGTTGGGGTCATAGTTTTTTCTGTAATATTAGGAAGCACCTTGTTTTGCAAATGCCTATGAACTGGAGCAACCTGACATGCTTTCTACTGGCCTGGAAAGCTGGTTGTTGACATTTACAACACATCCTCTCTCTGAGGCTCTCAGTTTACCTGGAGAAGTCTAAAAATAACAGCTTCCTTTCCCAGCACCTGTCTTCCTCTCAGCCCTTAGCTAAATCACTCTGTGAGTCCCAGCCCACACTGTCCCTTCTACTAGACTCCTTTTCCAAGCTTATTTTAGAAAACTTTGAACTATGTTCTGTCCAGGTTCCTGAGTGTATTGGAGATGTATGGACTGTTTCAGCTCAGGACTCAAGTTGCATTTGCATTTTGATTTTTTTATATGATGACTTTGTCTGTTGATCTTTGACCTCTGAGGACCAGGAAGCTCCATACCCTGGTGAAAGTCTCTCCTCAGATGTAGCATGACAGTGCTTTTGGTTCTGAGTTTCCTTCTCTCCAGATACTGAATGACTTTCCTTTTGCTGCCTTACGAATTCATAGGCTACAGTTAAATCACTTGGGAGGGAAAAAGCATAGAAGGAGCCCTGGGGTGAGAGCACTAGGGCAAGAGTGTTTCCCATGACAACCCCTTCTCATAATGTACATAATAAAGTGTGTGGGCTTCAGTGTTCTCTGGATGCAAGTCTGTTTCTCCCTGCACTGGCATATGTGGATTTCATTTTTCAGAAGTGTCACATCAGATCATCCAGTCCCAGGCTGGCTGCCTTGGCTCACACACACACACACACACACACACACACACACACACACACACGCACACACACACTTTTCCTGGGGAGTTTGAGATCCACTCCCTGCTCCAGCCCTTGGCTGGCTCCATTTTCCTTTGCCTTCCTCCAAATGGGATAGGAACCCACTCCCGGCTGTCACTCTGATAATCACACAGACCTACCTCTACTTAAAATAGTGAGCGACAACTATGGGGTTTACCTGCAACATCTAGGCTTTGAAGAGCTGTGCTGGATTAATGGCAGCCTGTGGAGCACTAGTCACTTAACTCTGTGCCTACACACATGCACACATTCATCATTTTGTCCTCAAAACAGCTTATAGGATACATCCTGCATTTTATAGAGGGGACACCAAGGCTCAAAGTAAAACTCAGCCAAAGTCTCATGGGTGGTGAGGAGCACAGCTGGCATTAAATCCAGATTGTCCAGGGCCAAAGTCCACCTAAAATGTCTCAATATATCTTCATGTGTCACTGCTTCTGCTGTCCCTGTACACACACCACTACCAGCAGCAGTCATTCTATATATAGATCATGAGTTTCCAAGACCATCAAAGTTTATTTGATTTTGCATTGCATTCATACCCAAACAGGTTTTAAACTTAAACTTTAGTTTTGGGTCATCTGATCAAGCTGAAGTTCGACACAAATGAGGTGGGTTAATCACGTTTTCACGTCCACACTGTGTTACAACACCCTGACCTGAGCAGGAAGAACCAGACAGGGTCCCACTGACACTGAAGTCTCCCAGTAAGGAGTGAGCTCAGAGCCCTTCCCACTACTCATTGGTGGCTTTCAAACTTCCTTTTAGAAGCAAGCTCCTTTTTTCAAAGGAAACTACACGCTGGTAAAAAGGTTTAAAATAAGCATAAATGCTTAAGTTCACATGTACAATATTTACTTATAAAGTACACAAGTGAGAATAGTGAGACTGCTTTGAAAAAATATTAATCAGAGTTACGAGTTACAATCTTAAAGCAGGCTCTCCACTCAGTTTCTGTTTTGCTTCAAAAGTATCTGTGGTTTTTGTTAGTGCTTCAAAAATGGAATTTGAATCATATATGTGCAAAATCGTGGAAGTGCCTCATATAATTCTACAGATCCTAGTTTGAAAATCATGCTTGTAGCTTCTCCTGCTCTATCACCTTGCACAGCTTATGTGACCTTAGATGAGTCATCTCGCCTCAGCCTCATTTTCCTCACCTGTAATATGGAATTATAGTCCATCTGTTTGTGCCCTTAGACCTTATGAGAAGGTGTGGGAAGCCACAGGTACTTTAACAAGCGTATACTGGTGCCTGCACACAAATTGGGAAATACTGACCCTCTACTGTGCCTATCCAAAGACTTCAAAACCTCTAGGCCAGACCACCTCTAAGATCCAAACTTCTTTACTTTGCAGGAACTAAGGAGGCTAAACAACCCATAACTTAGCTGTGGGCCAAGTGTGGGCAAGGCACTTTGCATGTCTTTCATTTCCATTCATCATTCCCTGTGCCTGTGTGGCCCAGGCCATGGGGAATCCATGGATGCCTTGAGGTTTTCAATGACTGTTAAAATAATATCAATGACATCAAGTCTAGAGCAGATCCAGGACAGGATTTGCCTAAAGGAGACATATTGCTAATAGGATGCAGCCCTGTCCAATCCATCCTATAGCCTGATGAGTTTGGTGAAAGAGGAAATTGAAACTACTGCTAATTTTAGGTTTTAGGCTGGGTATATTGGTGCCTGTCTATAATCCCTGTTACTCTGGAGGCCAAATTCAAGGCAAGCCTGGGCAATTTATCATGACTGTCTCAAAATAAAATAAAAAGGGCTGGGAGTGCAGCTCAGTGGTAGAGTGCTTGCCTAGGCTATGCAAGGCCTGGGTTCAAAATCCAGTACAGAAAAAAAGGACGGGGGGAGGAAGAAAGAAAGGAAGGGAGAGAAGAAGGAAGGAAAATTTTAGGGGCTGGGGTGTAGCTCTGTGGTAGTGTTACTGGGTTTGGGGGTGCTGGAATCTCCTTCTAGTGATGGTTTCTAAGTTCTTTCTGTCCTGAACAAAGAATTAAGCACAAAAGGCAGCAAGATTTTACACTTATTAAAGGTAAGAAAAGCAACATGCTCTGCAGAGCAAGTTTGGGCCAAGTAAAAGTAGGAAAAGTAGTACACCGTACAGCACGAGAGCAGGCTACTGTGAAAGAACACAGTAGCAGAGAGTACAGTGGTGACTGTCCTTTTTGTACCTTCTACTCCTCAGGCTCACATCAGTCTAGGCCACTGTATTCAAAACTTCGTAAGTTCTTGGGAGAAGTCCACATGCAGGGCTTTGGGAACTGTTTTGCTCATGTGTCCTGGGATTCTGTAATTCTCATGTCGTGCTTACTGCCCCAGCCAGCCTGCCACACCCCACTATGCTGCCCCATTAATACTGTATTAATATATTACCTAGCCACAGGTGATGTAATGTAGTGGGATTTGGAGTGAGGCCTGTGTTTGAATTCTAGCTCCACCATATTAGCAATGTGATCTTGAGCTCTTCATAGTTTCCTTAGCTGCAAAATGAGAATAAGAACAGAGTCTACCCATGAGAATGAGAATATTTGTGAAGATTGCGAGAGGCAATGGTTAACACAATGTGTAGCCCATAGCAGCTTAAAGACAGAAAAAACTTCGAAAGCACCTAGCACATAGCATACAGCCAGGGTGCTGTGTCTGGCTGAAAGCAATGCGGAGCCAAGTCAAACCAAATTAAACCGTGACCCTGTGTTCTCTCAATGAAACCGTTGATTCTGTATAACTAGAGCTTGAGGTTTCACAAACATTGAAGAATGAAGTCACGAACCCAAAGGAGAAAGTTACGTGAGTTTTTATTAGGAGTGAGAAGAAAAAAGGCTCCTGGTTTCTCCAGGAGGTGAATCCCAAAGACACAATTGCCACATGGTCCCTTGGTCCAGAACTTTTATGAACAAGCAGAACATGGGAAGGAATTGCTCGATTATTTAGTGGCCACCTATCACACGTTGCTCTATGATTTTACGATGATCAATTGGAACTTAGTCTCTCTAACCCAGTTACTCAGCTTGTAGGGTTTAAAGGAAACTGGGATTTTGAAGAAAAACTGGTTATTTTGCATTTTAAATTCCCGGAAACTCAGGAACTTAGTAGGGAGTGGCTACAACTCCCTTTAGTAGAGAGGAGGGTGCATTCCATGTTGTAGAGGAAGAATATTCTTGGTCCAAAGTCCTAGTTCACTGTGTGTCTCGGGCCTTATCCCCAGCTAGGTGCCTTATTCATTAGCTAACTAAAAAAACTGTTATTTACAATAAGTGTGAGTCCAGAGGTTAGGACTCTTGAAGTGAAAAAGGAGATCATCCCTTTGTATGGAATTGGGCAACTATGGGTTAACTATGTTAGGCAACTCTGGATTAACTAGGTAATTATGCTCTTTGCAGAATGCACCTGAGTAGCCATGACAACTTCTGCAATCTGTCACCAAAGGAACATAACTGACTCAAAGTCCCTGCCAGAACTCTGCCACACCCACTCCTCTGCTTTGTGTAAATCCTGCTTGCTATATTCCCAGGGAAACTCCAATGAAAGTAAGCCTCGTAGATGTAAAAAGAGGTATATAAAGAAGAACAAACTTCAGTTTAGAGCTCTCGACACTGATAGGAGTCACTCATTGAGCCATGGGCATTAAAAGCCACTTTTTGCTCCTATCTACAGTGGTCTGTCTGGGGTCCTCAGTTTCCTGCCTCAGAAGGAGATTCCAACACCCCAAATCCAGTAACATTTGCAAGTTTGCAAGTGGAGAACTTGAGGATCAGAGAACTTTTCTGGGTGTGTCTGTGTGTGTGCACGTGTGTGGATGTGCATGTGCTGGGGATTGAGCTCAGAGCTCACTCATGCTAAGTGTGCATTCTACCACTGCACTTCCCTCCCAGTAACTATCTGTTGAACTGAATTACTCAAGCTTCAACCCAGGATTCATGCCCCAGTGGATTTCTTTCTCAGAAATGCCACTGTGGCACTGTCCCAGTATTTCACAATGACTTCTCCATTGTGACTCACTGTCTAAAATTGCAGGAAGAGAAAATGTGGTTGAAGTGAAACTTCCTGACTTAGTTCCACCTGTAGAGAAAATAGGAAGTCAGAGCAATTAACTTGCCCCAGGCAATTTCCTTTCTCAGTGTATTAAGAGGTCTCAGCCACATCCTTGCATGCCACTGAAGACCAAAAGAATTCAGGGCAGGTTCTCCTGCACGTCCCTTAGAAGTAAGGGGAAGTAAGCGGGCTTGGCCTAGACAGACCTTCACCTGCCTCTAATGAAGGGCCCAGAAGCTTCCTCAGGACTTTACACTAGTTGAGCTGACAAGTTTTCGCTGCTTTGGGTACCGGCAAGGCAACTGTTACAGCATCAAGTCCAAATCCCTTAGAACAGAATTTGAGGCCCCAGCCCATCAGTCAGTCAACTTGGAGTTCTGTCCTAGTCCCTCTTCATTGCTCCCTGGCTTCGTACCTGCTGCACCCTCTGAGATGACTTGCCTTCCTCATTGCCCCAGTGCTTCACCCGGAAAATTTCTTTGCCACTGCGCTCGTCACCTCTGCGTTGAATCAGAATCTCTAGAGATCCGGTAACTGGAGACTCACGCTTTTAAAAAGGTCCCTGGATAATTTCAGGACTCAACTAGCTTTGGAAATGACAATGTAAACACAGACACACACACACACACACACACACACACACTCTTCCCACCACATAAACCTCACATTGACGTCTGTTCTTCTATAGCCTTACATATGGCAGCCTCCTTCCATAACTTGGACAGGAACAGGGGAAGTACTGTGGAACAAGAGGGGGAGATGCAGCGAGAAGAGTCCAGAAGGAAGGAGGAAAGGGAT